ATCTATTCCTCCTAAAACGTCTTCAGTCTATTCCAAAGTGAACTGTTTGCATTTGTATATTTGTATTCCATATTTGTTCCTTATTTAAAAGACACAATTATTGCGGTTAAATTGTCCGGGCCCGACGAATAAGTTTGTAGCGTAAAGGGCGTTCCCGATTAGATTCTTGGGAATTTGGTTTTTTAGCTTTGCTTCTCTTGCAACGAGTACTAGTAGGCGTGTGCTGTCACTGTTAAAATTCAGTACTAGTGTTTTTTACAGATCTTGCTCATGTTGCGACGTATAGCTTGCCAATCTCGCGCTATAGCAGTACCACGCTGTTCTATAGTAACATCCGCTACTTTCACTTCAGAAGCTGTACAGTCAATTACTGAGCCATACTTGGACGCTGAAGAAATAGTAAGTTACCGATGTTCCCTTAAACAATAACGTTCCGCTTTTCAACAGTAGACAATCTCGTAAAGTTGTCATCTTGCAAATTTTCTAAAGTCTTATCGCTTCCACGCAATAACAAATGTGGAAGCTGTAAGTGACACTAACTGATTTGCTCAAAACTTTCATGTTGCAACTATTTCAGGTTCAGCCTAATCGATATCTTTCTCTTTTTCCATCCCCAAAGGTGGTTGTGCCAAGCTTTGAGCTAACAAGAAGATTAGGTACATTGATCTCACAAGCTATATACTTATTATTTTTCGAGAAAACTTACAACAAGGAAGGGTTAGTTCGTGCCGCAAATGAGGTTAGTTTTTCAAAGATAACTCATTTAGCATTTTGCTCATGTTAATTGAATATACACTTTGCTAGATTTCATTTGCACATTGTGAGAACATTTATTACAAATACAAAACTCGCAGACAAGTTGTGACGCGCATTTCTGTCAGACCATTACCTGCCTTTCTTTTGTTGTGAAATGATCCGCAGAGAATGTGGGTAACCTGCTGAATTATCTTGTAACTGATTCTGTTTTGTAACTTGAATGCTTTCATCACAGATCACTCTTTTTTACTTTATAGGGCATATCTGTGATAGGAGAATGTATAGCTAATGAAGAATGGAGTAGGATGAGTCTCATTGCATCTAAAACATTGGTGGAACAAGCGCAAATGGCCAGGAAGAGGTCAGTTTTTCTCTGACGAAAATTTTTCTTTATTAATTAATAATGTAGGCATCTTGTTATAAATGGCGGAAATTGTAGATTTGCAGATGCACTCCTGACCAGCTAGCTATGCTACGACTTAGCCCTGATGATGTTATATTATCTTTCATCCACTCTGCATTCCTTTCCGGCAGAGACTTTAGGAATAGAAGTAAGTTTCTCAGAACCCGTCATCCTTTCTTTCTAAGCAAACATTTTTTTTCCATTTTAGAGGCTGAACATGGTGTTGTCAGTATCTATTTCACAATAGCTTCTTTTATCCGTAAGAATTCCTCAGTTCCATGGGAAGCTACGCTCCCACAGCTGTTAGGTAAATACAGGAAAGATGTAATAGTCGCTAATGTTACGTGAGTTGTAAGCGAATTTTTTGTGCTACTATATTCACGATCATCGAACAATCTGTACAGGTTTGCTCGAACCATAAGCCCTCTCGGTCAGTGGAAAGCCACCGGAGTGAACTTTTTTGAACTCGATGGTACACGTCAGTAACTTCAAACAGCATCTATCAATGTGTTGCAGAAATGTACTCAAGGCTTTTAGCATTCTTCCTTAAGATATGAAAACGCTC